AAAAAAAAAAGGCTACAGATAAGATACAGCAAAAGCGAGGGGGGGAGGGGAATACTACACTCACACAGAGGGAGTCAAACTTCAGCTAATAGTCATAAAACTGTTGGATAATGATTGAGGAATCCCATGTCCAAGTTAAGGCCATTATCTCTTGTGTCAAATAGAATGATAATTCTAACATTCTGCTTAAACTTTGTGATTTGTAATAGTACTGCTTAGACCTGAAGAAGGGGACATACCCCGAAAGCTTGTCCTCAAAATTGTATGTTAGTGCAAATAAAAAAAAGTATCACGGACAGTACTCAATTGTTCCTGTCGCAAATGCACTAATACGGCTACAATCACCTCAGACATTTTGAGAGAAATGGAGAGCGCAGAAGCAGAGAGAGAGCAGTATGTGTTTAGATGATCTGTCTTTTCTGGATGTATTCACTATGGATCCCATCATGAGCATAATGCCGAACCTGGAACTGACTGCGCTGGTGTATCGGGTCCATTTGAATAAATGGAAAACGCTTTGCATGCATTTCTGATGATGAAAAAAGGCTCTGGACAGCATCTGGATATGGAACAGTTTAAAAAATGCTTATTAGCTGCGGTTAACCACATTTACATTCATTTACACGTGTTTACAAGCGTTTGCCATTTGAAACACCGGTAAAATCTACTCCTGAACACAAGTTCGGTGCGTTAAAAAAACCAACTAAACTCAACTGCCTGTAAATGACGATGTGTACATGGACACATAGGAAAACATTAGGGAGAGTTCAGGGGCTGCTGAAAAAAATGCTGAAAAGCTCCTGAACCTCAGTTTAGCAGCTGCAGTGTACATGAGTAGCTCAATTTTTGCTTTCATTTGCTGCCTGGAATAGCTCTTTTATTTGGGTTTGCATAGAATGCACACAAGTGAAGGCAGAGATTGCATCGGCAATCAAATTTCTGAAGCAAGGGACTGTAAAAATGTACACAGTGTATGTTCTCATACAGTCAGTAGTCTGATATGTAGGTTTTGTCTTATCATATATGATTAAGCTAGGCTGTAAAAACACTTTACCAATATGAGGTCTTGTAAAGATGGGAGCAGCAGATCTCTTACCGTTATCACAGCAGATACGTTTATCTGCAAACATTGCGAACATCTACACACATTAAGTGATTAATTCCAGAAGACCGTCATTCTAACTGGAGGTTTTTGACTAATTGTGTAACCAGAGGGGGTATAGTGTGTGTGACTGTACATGTTATCTGCTGTCACAGCCTCTAGCGGGCTAATTATGAAATTAATTCTATGGAGATAATATGGAAAGTGTGTTGAAATACGATTCCTTTTTTTTTCTTTTTAGTATTTTTTCTTAGCATAGCATAGGGGTAGGCTGTCAGACTATTGGGGCTCATCCACACGAACGGTGAGAGACGAAATGAATAACAGCGCCTCTGGAACTCAAAAAAATATAAATAAGGAATATGTTTAAGGAGAGCCACTATCAACCCAAACAGGGCAACCAACCAAAGCGATAAATATCAAGACAGCGCTCTTCCCACTTTCCCACACTTCTTTTAGTTCAGGTTTTTTATAGTTTTTTTAGCATTTTTGTATTATAAGAGATGAAATGAGCTCTAGCATAAAAATCCCAGCTGTTTTGCAGGTGGGAAGTTGAGCTGGCCATAGAAGTGATTGGCTGATGACAACAAAGACTGGAACAAAAATTAAATGCCCCCAACAGTTTCATAGACCGTAATGAAGACCTGACAGAGGTCCTAACCCTCCCATGATCTTACCAAAATAGAAAAAAGTTTTGGCTGAAGTCTTTCTTCAAACTGTTACTCATTTTTTTTTGTAGTTTTGGTAAATATGTAGCATTTGAAACCTCCATGAGAAAATCAGCATTAACCTTTCTGCCATGGAAATATGTTTCAGGCCTTGTTGGCCATACATCTGCTGGTGACTTCTCCTGCATGTGCCCATCCTCTTCATACTTCTAAACGGGACCTGTGCAACCAGCATATTCTAAAACTAGGTTTATATAGGGCAGCACAGTGGCTAAGTGGTTAGCACTTCTACCTGGCAGTACTAGGTTCGTTGGTTCGAATACCAGCCACAGCACCACCTGCCTGGAGTTTGCATGTTCTTCCTGTGCCTGCGTGGGTTTCCTCCGGTGCTCTGGTTTCCTCCTACACTCCAAAGACATGTGGGTAGGTCAATTGGCTCCTGTCTAAATTTACCCTAGTATGTGTATGTATGAATGTAAGTTAGGGATTTAGATTGTACACCTCTCGAGGGTTAGGGACTGATGTGAATGTACAATATATGTATGTAAAGCACTGTGTAAATTGATGGCACTATAGAAGTACCTGAAATAAATATAATAATAAAGAAAATGTAAACTGTTATAAACCGAGAAGGAACCAGAGATGATCTGTAGGCTTCATTCTTGAAGCCAAATTGGCCGTATTGCAGCAGGTGTACTGCAGATATCTGCGACCGGAAGGCCTGGTGTTTATGGACAGCTGTGGCCAAGAAGCCTGTACAAGTCAATGATAGGCTGATGAAAGATATGGTTGTCCGCCACTGCAAGCATATATCTGCATGTATCTCCACATTAAGCAGTTACATGCAGTTAGGGATAAATGATCGACCCTGGATGCAGACAGGCCTGATCATCCCTGCTTAGCTGCTTGTAACCATTTGATATGTGGATACATGCAGACAACTGCAGCTCCTATCAGCCTGTCATTGACTTGTACAGACTTCCTATCTGCAGTTGTCTGCAAATAGCTGAGATCTCAGCCGCAGATAGCCACAGTGAACAAGCAACACCATAGCTGATTTGGCTGTGTGAGTGTACTTTTTTTATTTATTTATTTAGATAGGCATAGGCCTTGCTCAGTTTTGCACTAGGGCCCCTGTGTCTCTCATATATCATCATGAAAGAAAAAATGTATAACTACAAACTTTGGAAAGTCCATGTTAATGGCAAACTAAGCCATGCTCGTGTTTATCTGGCTTTGCTCCAATATATCTCAGCACCTCCAATTTTATTAAGCTCCAGCCTCCTATAGATGGAGGTGGTGCAGAGGCCTGGCAGAGTGGTTGTAAAGGTTTTTTACCTTACTGCAATCTCTGCATCAGCTGTGCCTGGGAGTAGAGGAGCTGCTCTCTCTCTCCTTCCTCACTGGACTCAGTGAGAGCAGCGGGAACCATTGGCTCCTACTGCTGTCAATCAAATCCAATGACAAGGGAGCAGGGGGTGGGCCTGAGCCGTACTGTGTATGTTAATAGACGCACACAGTGTGGGTTGGGGTCGGGCCTGCACGAGTAGCCCCCAGCAAGCAGCTTGCTGGGGGGGGGTGGAGTTATTTGAAGGCAGGAGGAGCCAGGAGTGCTGGCATAGGATTCCAGAAGAGGAGGATTGGGGCTCCTCTGTGCAAAACCATTGCAGGTAAGTATAACATATTTGTTATTTAAAAAAAAAAAAGCTCCTTTACAATCACTTTAATTGTATTCAGTGTGGAACAGAAGTGGCTTTTTCCTGGGCTGTATGTGCTGTTGTTGGAACAGCAACTACTAGGTCCGAGAGGTGGTGTAGCAAGCCATTCTGTCTGCAGCCATGGCTTACTTCTCCTTCCCCTGCCCTACTTTTTATACTTGCCTCAGCTCCATGACTTTAATTTTCTTGCTTTAATACTGAGCTAGGAGGAGGGTCAATGACATTATCACAGCCTACGGTTTGGTACATAACATGGCGGCCAAACCAACGGTGGTGCTACCTTTTGATAGAATTTATACCTGAGATGAACAGAGAAACCTATTCTCTAAACGCAAGCCTGGCAGGAGAATTCCTGGTGTAATCTGGACTCCGTTTACCCAGCAAAAGATATGAAATCATATCTGTGTTAGCTAAGCAAAGCACATTTATGTCTGTCCATTCTATTGCCACATCAGCAATGAGCCACCCATATTTCTGAACTGAAAGGTCTGTCACGTTAAAGTCTTTTTTTGGTTTATTACAAAAAAGTGTTTTCTGCCACCTGTAAGGAAGTTGGACTGTAGGAGAAGATCCCCATCAGGCCTACCTACCTTTCCGATGTGTAGAAAGCAGCTGCTGTGTTGAAAGCAGCTACTCTGTTAAAAAGCAGCTAAAAAGCAGCAGTACAAGAGGTAAAACGACACTCATGAATTATAATTACTGGGTAAATAATTTTATGGTTGGGGGGTCACCACAACATGAGGAACTGTATATAAAGGGTCACGGCATTAGGAAGGTTGAGAACCACTGTACTAGAGGATCAATTCCTTTTCAAAAAGGTTCCCCAGGGTTCTACAGTCTTCCTCCTTGGATAAACTGCCAGGATAATCTTCCCTCCTACAAACCAAATGCCACAATAACCAACTGTTGTTCCTATTATTAACTCTTTTTTTTCTATTTAGTTCAAACTGGCATTACTATTCCAACTAGCACAGACCCAAAACCAACCCTAAACTACCCAATATGTTGGAGAAAAAAAACTTTTAAGGAAATGCTCATGGGAATAATGGGAATTACAGTGGGTTAATTTGGCATATGATATGCAAAGGGGGGGGATTATCACCAGCAAGTTTAGCTGGACAGGAGGATTCCCTGGGGAAAATTCTTGGAAAGAAAATGATTCTCTAGTACAGCAGTTCTCAACCTGTGGGTTGCGGCCCCCTTGGGGGTCGAAACGACCCTTTCCAATGGTCTTAGGAACCGAGACACTGCTCCTCTATCCATCTCCAGGCGGGTCCGCCCACATGCAGATACGCCCACATTTCCCTGGACCGCGATGTGTGGGCGGGATGGCATGCCTCCCCTGTCATCTGGCCACACCCCCAGGATCACTCAACCGCTCCACCTTCTCGCCGGTGATTGGCCACCGGAAATGTAGATCAGGAAAGGCACACAGGCGGCCAATCACCAGAGAGGAGTTGGAGCTTGGAGAGGAGGAGCCGAGCAGCAGCGCGAAGATCAAAGAAGATCGAGTGACACCAACGATGGGGCACTATTCCTCCCCCCACTGACACCAACGATGGGGCACTATTCCTCCCCCCACTGACACCAACGTTGGGGGCACTATTCCTCCCCCCCACTGACACCAACGATGGGGCACTATTCCCCCCCCCCCCCCCACTGACACCAACGATGGGGCACTATTCCCTCCCCCCCACTGACACCAACGATGGGGCACTATTCCCTCCCCCCACTGACACCAACGATGGGGCACTATTCCCTCCCCCCCACTGACACCAATGATGGGGCACTATTCCCCCCCCATCCCCCCCCCCCCACTGACACCAACGATGGGGCACTATCCCCCCCCCCATCCCCCCCCCACTGACACCAACGATGGGGCACTATCCCCCCCCCCATCCCCCCCCACTGACACCAACGATGGGGCACTATTTCCTCCCCCCCACTGACACCAACGATGGGGCACTATTCCCTCCCCCCCCACTGACACCAACGATGGGGCACTATTCCCTCCCCCCCCCCACTGACACCAACGATGGGGCACTATTCCCTCCCCCCCCCACTGACACCAACGATGGGGCACTATTCCCTCCCCCCCTCCACTGACACCAACGATGGGGCACTATTCCCTCCCCCCCCCCCTACTGACACCAACGATGAGGCACTATTCCCTCCCCCCCACTGACACCAACGATGGGGCACTATTCCCTCCCCCCCACTGACACCAAACGATGGGGCACTATTCCCTCCCCCCCCCCACTGACACCAACGATGGGGCACTATTCCCTCCCCCCCCCCACTGACTCCAACGATGGGGCACTATTCCCTCCCCCCCCCCACTGACACCAACGATGGGGCACTATTCCCTCCCCCCCCCCACTGACACCAACGATGGGGCACTATTCCCTCCCCCCCACTGACACCAACGATGGGGCACTATTCCCTCCCCCCCACTGACACCAACGATGGGGCACTATTCCCTCCCCCCCACTGACACCAACGATGGGGCACTATTCCCTCCCCCCCACTGACACCAACGATGGGGCACTATTCCCTCCCCCCCACTGACACCAACGATGGGGCACTATTCCCTCCCCCCCACTGACACCAACGATGGGGCACTATTCCCTCCCCCCCACTGACACCAACGATGGGGCACTATTCCCTCCCCCCCACTGACACCAACGATGGGGCACTATTCCCTCCCCCCCCACTGACACCAACGATGGGGCACTATTCCCTCCCCCCCACTGACACCAACGATGGGGCACTATTCCCCTCCCCCCCACTGACACCAACGATGGGGCACTATTCCCTCCCCCCCACTGACACCAACGATGGGGCACTATTCCCTCCCCCCCCACTGACACCAACGATGGGGCACTATTCCCTCCCCCCCACTGACACCAACGATGGGGCACTATTCCCTCCCCCCCCACTGACACCAACGATGGGGCACTATTCCCTCCCCCCCCACTACTGACACCAACGATGGGGCACTATTCCCTCCCCCCCCCCACTGACACCAACGATGGGGCACTATTCCCTCCCCCCCCCACTGACACCAACGATGGGGCACTATTCCCTCCCCCCCCCACTGACACCAACGATGGGGCACTATTCCCCTCCCCCCCCACTGACACCAACGATGGGGCACTATTCCCTCCCCCCCCACTGACACCAACGATGGGGCACTATTCCCTCCCCCCCCACTGACACCAACGATGGGGCACTATTCCCTCCCCCCCCACTGACACCAACGATGGGGCACTATTCCCGCCCCCCCCACTGACACCAACGATGGGGCACTATTCCCTCCCCCCCCACTGACACCAACGATGGGGCACTATTCCCTCCCCCCCCACTGACACCAACGATGGGGCACTATTCCCTCCCCCCCCACTGACACCAACGATGGGGCACTATTCCCCCCCCCCCCACTGACACCAACGATGGGGCACTATTCCCGCCCCCCCCACTGACTGACACCAACGACACAACGATGGGGCACTATTCCCCCCCCCCCACTGACACCAACGATGGGGCACTATTCCCTCCCCCCCACTGACACCAAAGATGGGGCACTATTCCCTCCCCCCCACTGACACCAAACGATGGGGCACTATTCCCTCCCCCCCCACTGACACCAACGATGGGGCACTATTCCCCCCCATCCCCCCCTACTGACACCAACGATGGGGCACTATTCCCTCCCCCCCCACTGACACCAACAATGGGACACTATTCCCTCCCCCCCACTGACAGCAGTATCCCCCCCCACTGACACCAATGATGGGACACTATTCCTTCCACTGATACCAATGATGGGGCACTATTCCTTCCACTGCCACCAATGATGGGGCACTATTTCTCCCACTGATACCAATGACGGGACACTATTCCTCCCACTGATTCCAACGATGGGGCACTTTTCCTTCCACTGACACCATTGATGTGGCACTACTCCTCCCCCACTGCAAAATTACAGTTATGAAGTAGCAATGAAAATAATTTTATGGTTGGGGGTCACCACAACATGAGGAACTGTATTAAAGGGTCGCGGCATTAGGAAGGTTGAGAACCACTGCTCTAGTAGGTTTTAGGTTTGGGCAATAGCACACACAGTGACTAAAGGCATATTAATTTCTCCTGCTGCTACATACAGTCCTTATTATGTGGCAAGAATAGTGAATCCAAGAAAGGAATATACAGTATGTATATAGGGAAGTAGACAGAACATTGATCGATCTGGCATAGCATCCCAAATGGTAATATGAAAGATACAATATTTAGAAGAACACACACCAGTCAAATTGTTTTTTTTTTTTTTTTTTTTAAATGTTGGTTTAATAAAATATCCCTGATGAGGTTGACATGCTAGCTAGTAATGTATATCACGCATGGGAGGGGGGGGCCAATAACAAAAAATAACTGGGCAGGAATAAACTTAAAGTTGTATCAAAGAAAACACAATTAAATACTGTATGTTGCTATCATTTATTCACTTATGGTGTATTTGAAACATCTGCTGATTTCTTTCCCAGCAAAATAATGCTGTCGCCTGTACTCTTAGCAGACTACCCACACATTGTGCATTGGCAATGGGCCCGTGGGAGATGTAGTTCAGGGGGTTTGTCTATGGCAATAGGAACAGACCTCCCATTAGCAGACCCTACAAAAATTTAAAAGCCTGGTAAACATGATGTGGAGATTAATAAAAAGCTGTTTCACACTCCAAGAACAAGATAGACAAAACGTTTAATGTTGGGTCATGCACTAGAGAGGGAGGTTTGTGAGTAAAGTTGGGTCATGCCTATATAAATCCTTCAGCTACAGCTTGTATATGCTTTCCCGTTGATGGCACGTTCCTAAGTTGAACTTAGTATGTAAATAAGTAAGTAAGTATTCATTAATTGGATACTTACGCTGGTCGAGCTTGAGACAATAATAGTTTATATGATTTTAGATGTATGCTTATGTTGCCTGGATGGACACTTTATTTTTCAGCATGGCTGTATGGTGACCCTCGCCAAGTGGTCTATCCAAGAAATTCCACTGGATTCTACTGTGGATTTGGAGAAAACAGGTAAGTACTTATACCTAGGTAGTTCAGATTTCCTACTTACAGTACTTTGTTATCCAGACAAGCTCTTCTTTTTAATATTGCGTTTTTGAAATTGCATCTGATATAACTTTTAACTTACATTTATAAATCTCAACATCAACTAATATCAAATCCTACACTACATTACTCTGTTTATGCATCCCTGGCTTTTTCCCCATTTAATCCAGATAATCTAACAGTTTACTCAATTCATCCCTCACTTCTTCCATGAGGCCCCGTGCCTCTATTAATTTCCTCTTCTTTGTGATTGTGACCCTGTCCCACCATCCCTTTCCTCTTTTGTATATGAAACTGACTCTGAATCTCTTCCTTTTTTTTTTTTTACCATGGGAACCTGAAGTTTCATCCCTTTTATCTGCTGTGTTTACCCAAATTACTTTTCTTCCATAAACTCCTGACACTTCATTCCTTCACTTTTCTATATTGCCTGGACACTTCATCCTTTTTCTTTTTCTACAAGACCATGACCCATCATCCGTCACCCCTTCTCCTATGTGACCCTTACACTTCATCCCTTTCTCTTTCTATATACCCATAACTGTGAGTTGCTCCCCCCCTTTTTCCCATATGACAGAGGCACCCCATTGGTTTCTTTTGCAATATTTCTTGGAGTCTCCATTCTTTTTACTTCTTCTACATGATCATGGCTCTTCATCCCTCACCTCTTCTCTTATATGAATCTAACACTCCATCCCTTGCCTCCACTACATGAACATGACTCTTCATTCCTCTTCAGCTTTCACTCATTCTCTGTATCTGGACCAAAGTGTGCCTTTTTTTATCTGCACTGTTTTACCTTTGGGACCTAATGATCTGTTCTCACTTATTAATCTTTTCCTATGTGATTGTGGTTCAACACTTCTGCCTGTATAACTAATAATGTAATTTTGTTTTCCAGTAACAAGCCCTTTGTGCTATATTTTGACTTATTGAAGTGTATCACTGGTACAAATGTATTGGCAGCATCGATGAATGGACTGCAGTGTCCCACCACCCAGGTAGCTACACTAGATATTCATGTGCTAACCTTTGACTCATGCCTTCCATTAACTGAAATTTCCCACTTCTTTCTGCAGTACTCTGTGTTTCTCTCCATCCCTTATTATTGTTTGCCATATCAGTTGCTCATATGGTTTTCTGCTCTCTAGGTTTGTGTCTCAGAATGTCCTCAATATTTCAGAGCAGCTATACCAATTGGCAGCCCGAAAAATGTCTATAACCAGACATTCTGTCAGCCGAGTATTAACCTAACTACTACTCAACTGGTAAGTAGGGAATGAAAAGCCACTAACTAGCTTTGAGTGCATTGCTAATTTGAATATCTGACCATACTGTACCTCCTCACAGGTTTATCTAATAGTACTCTTATGTATAATAATTTTGTTATGTTCAAACATTGTTTCTGTCCCAGCTAAAAAGTGGATCTGCATCTGTATTAATGCAGTTATTCTCTGTTTTCTCTTCCTGCCATACAGAGTGTAAGTGAAATTGCTGCTAAGGAGCTATGTCCTGTCTTCCTGGTTCCCTCTAAACCTAGTAAGTACCTCCAGTGCTTTTACAAAGATTTTGTTCTGCCTTCGAGCCTCTCGGATTCCTTTGAACCTCTTAGTTAAACAATGTAGATCACAGATTCTGCACAATTTGGGTTTTGGCTAGCACTCACAATAAAATAACCCCACCCCTTTTTTTGTTTTCCATGGAGGAAGGTCAGCTTGGGCCTGACACATTTTGGGTGGCAACATCTGCAAACTAGCACAGACTCATGGTTGTTTCAGCTGGTCATGCTTAGTGGACTGTGAGCTCTCACTTCCCAGCAACTGATATACAGGGCATCAGAGATGTTTATGGATGCCTACCTTTACTGCTTGCAGTGCCAAGTAATCATCAGTCT